GCAGTGTTTCCCTGTCCTCTGGCTTTCCTGAGATTAGAGTCGTTTATTATTATGTATTGTTCATGTATTTCGAATCGGTATTTAAATACACCATCTGATGATGTGTTAATGGCTATCCATCAAAGTTTAATCAGTAGTGAAAGTGAAACCCTTAAAGGTCCCATTCTTCGTGATTCCATTTTTCAAACTTTAGTTAGTGTGTAATGTAGCTGTTAGAGCATAAATAATACCTGTAAAATTATAAAGCTCCAAGTTCAATGCCTAGCGAGATATTTTATTTAACAGAAGTCCCCTTTCAGAGCCTACAGCGAACGGCCGGTTTGGACTACATCCCTCTACTTCCGTTTTTAATGACGTCACTAAAACAGTTTTTTGACTAATCTCTGCCCACGGGAATACACAAAAAAGGGGGCGTGGTCTTGTTGCGCTCCACGGAGAAGAGGAAGAGTTTCGTTTGTAGAGTGTGTTTGTCGCCATGTCGTCGAGACACTGTTATTTTCATGCCGGAGTCAATTCACCTGTGTCTGGCCTTCCCAGGGACGCTGTGCTTAGAGATCAATGGTTACAATTTATGTTTAACTCGGTTCCCGAAAATGTGCGCATGCATCTCCACGTTATGGTAAGAGGCGTGACCTTTCCGGGCAACGTGCGCTAAGCTGCTGTCGAATCACAACACAGGAACCGCTGGCACAATCAAAACTCGTCACGTATTTATGAAGGAGGGACTTCATAGAGCAAGGAAGTCATCGGGCCGTTTTTTGGACAGTGAAAACAGCGGTATACAGATAAGTAAATTGTGTGAAAAATACTGTGTTTTTTTACACGCGAAACATGAACACATGTTATATTGCATACTGTAAACACAATCAAAGCTTCAAAAAACATGAAGAACGGGACCTTTAATATATACAAGCGTCCACAGAGTCGATGAATAGAAAAGCAGATGAACCCCAAACATGGCCTCGGAGTGTGTGTGCTTCAGTGGATTAGCAGTAGTCAGTCATAGACGAGTCCTTCAGGGGTGTGAACTGAAGTCACAAGTTACGCCGTTATCAGCAGTCCAGCGAGTCGTGTTTCCTGAAACCATTGTTCCAACATTCGCAAACAGCATCGCAGAGGTGTGTGTTTGAACAACACTCTCGACCTGTGGTTAGAAAGTGTTTCTTGTTTGCATGACATGTGGACTTAATAAATCCTGATCTCGAGCCAAATAAGCAAACTGACACTCAGTGCAACCTGTGTCTTTAATTTAGAACACACACTAATGTCATTTACGTCTGAGTTTGTCAAGAGATTTAAAGTGTAGTTTTTGAAGAGTGCGCATGTGTGAACGAGCTCTAGTGTGTGTGTGAACGAGCTCTAGTGTGTGTGTGAACGAGCTCTAGTGTGTGTGAACGAGCTCTAGTGTGTGTGAACGAGCTCTAGTGTGTGTGAACGAGCTCTAGTGTGTGTGAACGAGCTCTAGTGTGTGTGTGAACGAGCTCTAGTGTGTGTGAACGAGCTGTAGTGTGTGTGTGAACGAGCTCTAGTGTGTGTGTGAACGAGCTCTTGTGTGTGTGTGAACGAGCTCTAGTGTGTGTGTGAACGAGCTCTAGTGTGTGTGTGAACGAGCTCTAGTGTGTGTGAACGAGCTCTAGTGTGTGTGTGAACGAGCTCTAGTGTGTGTGAACGAGCTCTAGTGTGTGTGTGAACGAGCTCTAGTGTGTGTGAACGAGCTCTAGTGTGTGTGTGAACGAGCTCTTGTGTGTGTGTGAACGAGCTCTAGTGTGTGTGTGAACGAGCTCTAGTGTGTGTGAACGAGCTCTAGTGTGTGTGATCGAGCTCTAGTGTGTGTGAACGAGCTCTAGTGTGTGTGAACGAGCTCTAGTGTGTGTGAACGAGCTCTAGTGTGTGTGAACGAGCTCTAGTGTGTGTGTGAACGAGCTCTAGTGTGTGTGATCGAGCTCTAGTGTGTGTGATCGAGCTCTAGTGTGTGTGATCGAGCTCTAGTGTGTGTGATCGAGCTCTAGTGTGTGTGAACGAGCTCTAGTGTGTGTGAACGAGCTCTAGTGTGTGTGAACGAGCTCTAGTGTGTGTGAACGAGCTCTAGTGTGTGTGTGAACGAGCTCTAGTGTGTGTGAACGAGCTCTAGTGTGTGTGAACGAGCTCTAGTGTGTGTGAACGAGCTCTAGTGTGTGTGAACGAGCTCTAGTGTGTGTGAACGAGCTCTAGTGTGTGTGAACGAGCTCTAGTGTGTGTGAACGAGCTCTAGTGTGTGTGATCGAGCTCTAGTGTGTGTGATCGAGCTCTAGTGTGTGTGAACGAGCTCTAGTGTGTGTGAACGAGCTCTAGTGTGTGTGATCGAGCTCTAGTGTGTGTGATCGAGCTCTAGTGTGTGTGAACGAGCTCTAGTGTGTGTGAACGAGCTCTAGTGTGTGTGAACGAGCTCTAGTGTGTGTGAACGAGCTCTAGTGTGTGTGAACGAGCTCTAGTGTGTGTGAACGAGCTCTAGTGTGTGTGAACGAGCTCTAGTGTGTGTGAACGAGCTCTAGTGTGTGTGTGAACGAGCTCTAGTGTGTGTGATCGAGCTCTAGTGTGTGTGATCGAGCTCTAGTGTGTGTGATCGAGCTCTAGTGTGTGTGAACGAGCTCTAGTGTGTGTGAACGAGCTCTAGTGTGTGTGAACGAGCTCTAGTGTGTGTGAACGAGCTCTAGTGTGTGTGAACGAGCTCTAGTGTGTGTGAACGAGCTCTAGTGTGTGTGAACGAGCTCTAGTGTGTGTGAACGAGCTCTAGTGTGTGTGAACGAGCTCTAGTGTGTGTGAACGAGCTCTAGTGTGTGTGAACGAGTCGACGAGTGAATCTGGAAATAAAGCGAAATAACTGAGAAAAATGAGAAATAGTCGTCAGATGCATGTCTAATTTATAGCAAAACATCTAGCATTAATTCGATCTCAAACAGATTAATTAAAATAAGTTATCACTCCACCACCTGTGTGACGTCATTAACCAACGCGTTTGAACGACCAATGTGAGACAGTATGGTTTCGGGACACAGTCGTGACGAGCTAGCTGATTTCCTCAGCGATGGATCGTACTGTGGTAGTGAAGCAGGAGTTACGGCGGTGTACGGGAAACACACCCTAGGTTGTGCTGAACACTCTTCCTGAAGTGTGCGGTGAGTGTGACGCCCTCCGCTGGTTAGCTGTGGTGTGTGTGGCGCAGAATATGAGAATATCAGTGGGCCCAGTAGCGAACCCTGGGGCACTCCTGAGAAACCGGCATCTGTTGTGCAGTGCTGGTGGGCGGGACACCGGCTCATACAGAATACCAGTGTTTATTTTTGTTGTGATATTAATTTTTACTATACCGCAATACCGGTGTATGTCGCTTTAATAACGTTGGGAACGCGGCGCAACACTGTTTGAAACGGGTCTTTCCACTGTTGCACTGGTGAGGCACAGCTGTGTGTGTTACTGTGAAGGTGAACATGGACAAGTCAAACTATTATTGATATTCTGTCAAATTATATTACAGTGTTTCTCATACATTGGTTCACACTATCAACACAGCCTTTTGGGAAATCTATGTGTGGTTGGCATTGACATCGGTGAATAAACATGAGCACTGCACGTTTCACAGTCAAAACGCAGCGCGAGTGTTTTTACATGAATGTATCTGTGCAGGGAACTGACTGTCTTAACCCTCTGGGGACGGATTGGGCGGTACCGCCCAAAATGGCATACTTTTACAAATGTGTAATTATCTTAAAAACTATTAATGATAGAGAGCTGCGGTCTTTTTTACCGTCTTCCTCAGATTCCGCTGAAAACAGTGATACCCGGCTTTGTAAATATACACACTTGTTTGTTGCGCAATACCACTATGTAAAAGGCCAATGAAATCGATGTTGTTTGGCAGATTCCGCGAACAACAACCAATTGAAAAATTGCCGCTGGAGAAATATTTTTCTTACCCAATCAGAGGAAGGTTACCATGACGTTTCTAGCAAATCAGAGGACTCTGTAGCTTTGCAAGGGGTGGTACTATATAGTTAGGGATATGACGCAAACAGCGTTGAATGGAGAGAAGGAGAGAGAGCGAACGGAGGCTTATGGAGCGGATTATCAGAGATTTATATATGAGAGAGAGAGAGACAGAACAATTATAATATATATATTTATATACAGATACATACAATTATAGCATTATTTATTGTTTTAGCACTTTTATGATGGCAAGCAGTAAACGATTTACGGTGGAACAAGCTCTGGAACAATTACTGGAGAGTGACGAGGAGAAAGCATTGCTTAGAATTTTCTAAGCATTCCTAAGAAAAACGCCTGCGACTATTTGTAAATAAAGTTCAATTTTTCATTGTTCTTTACACATTTTATTTAACAATTACACATGTCTGTCAAGCAAAGGCTTTGACAAATATATTTTTTGTTCAAAAACTGTTCACTATTGTTGTGTGATTTGTGATTTTCAGAAATAAATGAGAAAAATCTCATTTCCGTTTTTGAAATTCTCTAGTTTATAGTACATTTTTCACTCATACTTCCTTTATAAACACATTACATGCATGCTTATGTTAGCTTAGGGTCTTCTGAATCCATAGATACCAAACACATAGTGATCCATCTCCATTACATATGGTTTATAAGCCCAAATGTAAAAATAGAGCAAACGGACCAAAAAGGGCTTAGTCCCCAGAGGGTTAAGGAAAGTCTCTCTATCTTTCCTGAGACAGCAGCGTTTATGAGCCGTTACCGCTGTTTCTGCCGCTCCTACAGCGCCTCCTGCTGGCTACTCTTTGTAAACATCATTTTACATATTACAATATTCACTCATGACAGTAAAGCAGGGCATTCTGAGTCAGTCTACTCACTCAGGAGAGAATGTGGTTAACACCCAATCATGCTTGAAAAGAAAAATACCGTCATATGGCGTGAAACCGGTATAATGTGTAATAATAGGATGTATCAGTGTCCCCGTCTGAACCCCGGCTCTGTCCCCGCAGGGCCCCAGTACGGGACGCTGGAGCGGGCCTGGTGCGCGCTCATGACCGAGGCCGAGAAGGTCAGCGACCTGCACATGGAGGTGAAGGCTGCTCTGATGGCCGAGGACTACGAGAAGGTCAAGAACTGGCAGAAGGACGCTTACCACAAGCAGATGATCGGCGGCTTCAAGGAGACCAAAGAAGCTGACGACGGCTTCCGCAAGGCTCAGAAACCCTGGGCCAAGAAGCTGAAGGAGGTACAAGCACACGACCACAGCACACAACGGGTGTGTCCCGACTCTAGTACATCTACCACAACACACCCGCAAAGCATACACTCAGTGTCCTTTTAGGAAGATCTGTGTATTGATTTCCATTTATTCTCTAATTCACTAAACCATCACCAAGCCAGCTGGGCTGAAATCATTCCACTTCCTATTCCTTAAAGATCCCTAAAAATGATTCTACTTCTGATTCCATTAAAAACTATCTTAAACTCCTTTAAAATCTTGTTATTCTGATTCCTTAACTTTTTCTTTATTGAAATAATTCTTCATCTGCTTCCTTTTACTTCTGATTTCGTTTAAAAAAAACTAAATTCCATGAAAAAAAATCTACTTCTGATACCTTAAGTCTTCAATATAAATCTAAGACGCATAAGGGCGTGAATCAGGCCGGCACAGCTGCCAGTGCAGTCATGTGATCGCAGCGTCACATGGGTGTGCTCCTGAGGACTGCATCTGCATCTTATCTGCTCTGTGAAGTGTGCAAGAAGGGTGCGTCCCAAACACACGAGCAAGCGTCCATCCGTGCCGATCTCTGACGCGTGCTCTCGTAACGCTGCAGTGTGTGTATGAGGATGATCGGCAGTAATGCATTGCAATATTGCGTTACTCCCCCCTAAATAGTAACTAATAGCATTACTTAGTTTCTTTTTATGAGAAGTAATGCGTTACTTTACTTTTACCTTTTCTCACCTGGACTGGGCTTTCTTGCCTGTTTTCTATTAACATGTGACATGAATATAAATGCACGTTTAGTCTAGAACTAAAATAACCACGTTTACACACACACACACACACACACACACACACAACACCTCCTCACTTTATTTCTCTCGACATGAGGACAGGAGAGCTGTCAGTCAATAATGTGAAAAAGTAACTAGCGTTCCTTTGTTGTTTTTTAATTAACTTGGATATGTTGTTGTAATGTGATTGCGTAACTCAAGTCACCTGTAATGAGTCTCCCAACACTGATGATGATGATGATGCACAGGTGGATGTGATGAAGAAGGCGTACCACGCCGCCTGCAAGGACGAGAAAGCGGCCACCAGTCGAGAGAGCACCAGCAGACTGGAGAACAGCCACCCTGAGGCGCAGAAGAAGCTGCAGGAGAAGGTGGAGAAGAGCCAGCAGGAGGTGCAGAAGGTCAGTCTCCGCCTCCTCTGATTGGCTGAGCGCGTCCCTCCAGGGAACAGGCTCCGCTCTGATTGGCAGGAGGCCTGTAGATGTGTGTATTTCTGAGTTTGGCAGCTTTGTCCCCTGGAGAGGAAGTTTTGAGTCGTGGAAGCTACACTGGTCATATATATATCTCTTGTAAGGGTGCTAAACTGCTTAATTTACCCATCATAGAGGGAAAGTTGATCATTTAGGCGTGTTTTGTCTTGCCAATTCCCACATTCAAACAATATTAAGCGCCGAATTGATTCCTCTTCCGCGTTTCCTTGCCCTTTAACGGACACATAAACACAAAATGATGTCCAAATACCCGTCTCGGCAGGACAGCTACAGTACAAAGATAAACTATATTTCATTTCTACAGTGAGCAAAGTGTGTGATGCGTGGCCCAAACAGCGTGAGTGATGCGAGCGGTGAGTTGTGAGGTCCGCTGCAGCACTGATCTCTCTCTCGTGTGTGTGTGTGTGTGTGCGCCTCAGACTCAGGAGCGCTACGAGAAGTCTCTGCTGGAGCTGGAGAAGGTGACGCCGCAGTACATGGAGAACATGGAGCAGGTGTTCGAGCAGTGGCAGCAGTTCGAGGACAGCCGGCTGGGCTTCTTCAAGGAGCTCCTGCTGGGCGTCAAGCAGCACCTCGACCTCTCGGCCAATCACAAGTGAGGAGCCCACAGCCTTAGCCAGCACCTGCTCAGTACTCCACTCAGATCATTGTTCGGCACTTCATTAGTACAGCGTTTAAATGAACACATTTCCGCTAACTGTGATTTGTATATGTGCATTTCTGAAGTGTGTAACTCAGACAGTTTCCTCTGATAACAGATCTCTCTAGATTATAATGTGTGTTTTCTGTGAAATGATGTGTGTTGTGAAAAGCGCTATACACGTAAATGTGAATTGATTTGAGCGCTGTGATTGTGATGAGTCTCTCTCATGCGAGCGCTCCAGCTGTGGTCATGTGGTGCGTGGTGAGTGTCTGAGGTGTTTAACGTCTCTGTCCTTCAGGTACACGATGGTGTATCACACACTGGAGGACACCATCCAGGCAGCCGACACACAGGAGGACCTCCGCTGGTTCCGGACCAAC